TCATTAATAAAGTTTGCCTTCCCCTCAATGTGGGAAAGATATGCAACAAGGTTGTGTTAACTAATCTGAGATTTTTTTCCTAGATGCTTCACTAAAGGCACACTGAGTTAAACACAAGTTTATTAACTACAAAAGTAGGGTTACCAGATGGTTTCAACAAAAACACCGGACACACTTGACATTATATCACAATCTACATTACATCTTATTTAGAAAATACCAGACATTTATATTTTCTCATTTATAATTTCTCCATTTGTTTACCGAACAGAAAGCTCAAATACTGGACTGTCCGGTTCAAAACCAGACAGCTGACAACCCTAACAAAAAGCTAGATTTAAAGTGATTGTAAGTGATAGCAAACAGCTCAAAGTAGATTATTTAGTAGATAAACCTAATATACTATTAGCTAGATTGGATATTGCCAAGTTTTCATCCTGGCGAGTAATACAAGCAGTACTCCAAATTTCCATATATAGGCTAGAAATCCATTTAGCCTGGGAACAGCACTTCCCTCAGTTCAGTTTTTGTTTCTGAGATGTTTCCACGAGTGCTCTTGGATGGAGAAAGAGGTCACTAGATGACATCACACCCACCTTATATAGTTTTAACATATAGTAGGAACCATTTATTCCAAACTATGTTTCTAGCTCAGTTTATGAGAAATACAAGTATCCAAAATGGAGTTCAGTTTCATGTGACATAGTCACATATCCTTGTTGAGTTATTGCAGTCATTACTTACAGGCCAACTGAAATATTCCAGGAATCCATAGTTCATTGTCTTTGCTGATGGACCATCAACAGTGTCTAGCTTCTTCATTGTTGTATCTAAAAGGCCACCTTTGGGTTTTCCCAAAGTAAACATATTTGAAATACAGATAGCTAGTGAACATTCATAACTTCACATATCAAAATAATATTTGCATATGTAATCCACACACCTAGTGTGGTTACTGAGTACTGCAAGTGGCACCTAGACCACTGCAATAGTTAAGATCAAGAGACCTCTACAGCATGGGCTGGGAGCCAGCTGGCTTTTAGTTCAAAGGGTAGAGGCTCCTATAGTCAGCTCCCGAAGTCCCAGGTTCAAATCTGCCTTGGTGGTGGTTATAAGTGGGGGTTCGTCCGGGATCTCAACTGGGTCTTGGAAGCTCGGGACATGCTTCCTCACCTAGGGGAAGTATGTAACCCACACACCTACGCTATGTCTACACCTGCAGCTTCTTGTGTGAGTAATATGCAAATGAAGCTAAGTGTGGAATATCGCCGAGCCTCATTTGCATACCTAATGAGCCACCATTTTTTTCAGAAGAGGCTCTTGTGCAAGAAGGAGCGTCTACACTGCCCCTTCTTGCGCAAGAAAAACCCTCTTGTGCAATGCTGTTACACCTATTACTTTTCAGGAAGAACGGCACTACGCAAGAGGGTTTTTCTTGCGCAAGAAGGGGCAGTGTAGACGCTCCTTCTTGCACAAGAGCCTCTTCTGAAAAAAATGGTGGCTCATTAGGTATGCAAATGAGGCTCGGCGATATTCCACGCTTGGCCTCATTTGCATATTACTCGTGTAAGAAGCCGTGAGTGTAGACATAGCCCTAGTGTGGTTACTGAGTACTGCAAGTGGCACCTAGACCACTGCAACAGTTAAGATCAAGAGACCTCTACAACATGGGCTGGGAGCCAGATGGCTTTTAGCTCAGAGAGTAGAGGTTCCTATAGTCAGCTTACAAAGTCCCAAGTTCAAATCTGCCTTGGTGGTGCTTACACATACAACTAGGATAATCATATTCAGCAAATCATTACTTTTCCATAGACATCTGGCAAGACATATCTTATGCAAAAATTAAATGCATCATAATTATATAATTACACATTATGAATAATATGAGGTGCAGTGTCACACATTTTTTACACATTTTATTATGATCTGCATTATAATGTGCAACATTTAAAAGAGCCACTGGGGGGCTCACTGATTCCATATTAAATGACTAGACAGTCTTTAAAAACTAATATTTTCCCTAGTTATTGGCTCTAGTAGTATCAAGAAATCAAAATGTATTCAATATTCTTTAAAAATTGGAAGATAATTGAATTTTTGCAGATAATTTTGCTGCATGTCTACTTTTGACTTTCAACTGCAAATCAATATGCTACATGTTAAAATGTCATGGTGTAGAAACATTTCCAAAGGTAGGAGTATGTAAATGACACATAATAAACACCTAGGGCCAGATTGTTCCCTTTTGAGGTAAAAGTCAGAAGAGGGGACAACATTGTATAAGGGTTTTGCTGCCTATGGAAAAGTTACCCTCCAAATGTGGCAGACACACCATTCTCTTCTTTTACAGGGTGGGTGACTGCTATAAATAAAGCAGGTCTGGCTTCCCTGTATCGGAACATGTGCAGCTAAACTGGCCAATTAAAAGGCTGGGGCTGCACCTTAGCTATAACAAATTAGGGAGAGCTGGAGGGTAGGGTAGATCTAGACTAAATGAGCAGATCATTCTGCGCATGTGCAGATTGCCCAAACCCAGCTCTTCTGGATTGTAGATTGCATTATTTGTCAAGCCCTGGATATTAAGTATTGGGTAATTGACTAATCAAATAGTTGATGCATTTTTGCATTGACTAGTTGATAGAGTGCCTCTGCTTTTGAAGTGTAGCAACAGCTCTAGGCTGCTGCTCCTGCCCTGCAAGGGGGTGGGTGCCTAGAGAGAAGTGGTAGCTCTTCAGAACAGCTGCCAGTTCTCTCTAGACAGGGTAAGAACATGGGCAAAGACTTATATGGAGATATACCATCTCATGGAGCTGGAAGTGACCTTGAGAGGTCATCAAATCCAGTCCCCTATGCTCACAGCAGGACCAAGTGCTATCCCTAACAAATTTGCCCTGATCCCTAAATTGCCCTCTCAAGAGCTGAACTCACAACCCTGCGTTTAGCAGGCCAATGTTCAAACCACTGAGCTATCCCTCCCCCCCAGGCCATGCCAGATCTACGGGAGGGGGAGCATGGAAGTGTCCTGACCCCCACCCCTTCTGCCAGAAGCCCCGCCCTTTCTGGGGTGGTCTGAGGCCACTTCAAAAATAGTGAAGTGGTCCCCCCATCTAAAATTATTGCTCACCCTTGACATAGAGGATAGGGGCAAAGCACTAGTTGTGATATATCATAATGTTTTTAGTAAGGCTTTGACACAGTCCTGCATAACATTGTCACAAGCAAACTTCGTAAATATGGCCTAGATTAAATGATTCAGTATGGGTACAAAACTGATGGAAATATTCTAAACAAAGAATAGTTATCAATGGCTTGTTGTCAAGTTGGGAGGGCATATGCAGAGGTCCATTCATAGCTCTGACACTTGTCAATATTTTGTATTAATTATTTGTATAATGGAGTGGAAGGTATGCTTAAAAATGTATGAATGACACCAACTTGGGGGGAGTTGCAAGCAGTGTTTCCTCTAATTTTTTATGTCTACATTCAGAATGACTTTTGTTATATGCACCAATATGGAGGTGATGTATCCATATTATTTTGGATGTATTGTTTGGGATGTATCACCTCCATATTGGTGCATGTAACAAGTCATTCTGCACATGGACAGTGTGTGTTGGGGGGTAGAGCCAAGGGGTTTGGGTGTGAGAGGGCTTAGAATTGGGACATAAGGTTAGAGTGTAGGATTGTGAGGCTTCCAGCTAAAGTTTCAGAACTAGGCAGAGGGTTCAGGTTTGGGGTTTGGATACTGGCTAGGAGTATGTCTACACTGCAGCATTTTTCCGGAACAATGACCGTTTTTCTGGAAAAATTATATTTGTGTTCACACTGCTGTTGCGTTCTTTCGATAGAAAGTTGAAAGAACGGAGTGGTTTTTCCGACAGTGGTAAACCTCTTTCTATGAGGAAGAAGCCTTTTTCTGAAATTTTTTTTTCAGAAAACGGCGTGTGTGGATGCAGAAGAGGGAGTTCTTTTGAAAGAAGAGGCCTCCAGGAAATAACACAGGTGCACTGGTGGCCACTCTGTCCATACTAATCACAACTTAAATGCAAGATAGCATCCAATCAATGTGGACACTATCTTTCGAAAAAACACATCGCTTTTTCATTGACCTTTTGCTGTGTGGACACTCTTTTTCTAAATAAGCTTTTCTGGAAGATCTCTTCCAGAAAAACTTCTTCCAAAAGAAGCCTGCAGTCTAGACATAGCCTAGGCGTGCAAGCTGTGGAGTGGGACTGAGGATGAAGGGTTTGGGGTGTAGGATACTTTGGGGACAGAGGACTCCTCTCAGCCCTCTCTCATTACAGCAATTCAGAGCAAGGTTGGAGGTGCTTCTCTATTGCTCTCGCAGTCCAGCAAGCATGGCTGAGAGAGGGACATTATCCTCCTGCCTGGGCAGGTCTGAGCTAGGCTGGGTGGGGGACCTTGGAAGGAGCAACTATCTCTCAGCTGCAGCAGTACTGGGACAGCTCCATATGGAAGCCAGAAGATATTGGGTTATAATGCAACACAAATTGAATATGGGCCAACAATGTGATGCAGTTGTGAAAGAGGCTAATATCATTCCGGAGTGTATTAACAGGAATGTCATTTGCCAGACAGATGAGGTAATTGTCCCACTGTACTTGGCAGTGGTGAGGGCTCAGCTGGAGTAATGCAAACAGAACTGGATGTAACTCTTTGAGAAAAATATGGACCCAAGTTGGTGAGAGTCCAGAGAACAGCAACAAAAATGATAAAACATTTAGAAAAGCTATCCTATAAGGAAAGGTTTAAAAAGCTGGGCATGTTTCTTCTTAAGAAAAGAAGACTGAGGAAGGACCTGCTAAGTCTTCAGACATGCTAAGAGCTGTTATAAGAGGATGACTATCAATTGTTCTCCATGGTGTCCCTAGCCTCTGTTTGTCAGAGGGTGGAGATGGATGGCAGGAGAGAGATCGCTTGATCATTACCTGTTTGATTCACTCTCTTTGGGGCACTTGGTATTGGCCAGTGTTGGTAGACAGGATACAGGGCTGGATGGACTTCTTATGTTCTTATGTCCACTGAAGTTAGGAAAAGAAGTAATCAATTTAACTTGCAGCAAGGAAGATTTAAGTTACGTGTCAGGAAAATCTTTTGAACTGTAAGGATAGATAAATATTGGAACAGGCTTTCACTAAATACTGTGTAATCCCCATCATTGGAAGTTTTAAATAACTAGTTTGACAAACATCTGTCAGGGATGATCTTCGCATATTTGGTTCTGCTGAGCATGTGTATGTATGTGTGAATCAGATGACTTCTTGACATCCCTTCCAGACTTCTATTTCTGTGATGTCTCCCCTTTTGACTTCCACTCCCTTTTTTTGAGTCATTCTAGGTAGCCATCTGGTTGAAATGTTACTTGGTGGTCTTCCAGTGGAGAACATCTACACGCTTTCAGGTTGTATAGTAAACCTCTGTGTAGAATAGTCTGAATTTAATAAAATTAAGCAAATGCATAATTCAGAAACCAGACAAACTGATTCATCTAGCTGTACAAGTATTAAACCTTAATGCCTTTGTCTTGTTTTTAGCAACACATAAGTGGAGTTGTCATGGATACTGAATTGCGCCCTGGTTTTGCATCTTGCAGAAGTGTTGAAGAATGTAGGGTTTTTTGTTGTTGTTGTGTTTTAATTGTGTGAAAGTTTTTTTTTCTGCTCTAGTCCTAGAGTCATCCCAAGCTTATGAGCTTGATACAAAGTCCTCTGTTCGACTTCAGTGGGATTTGGATTGGGCCCTAAGTGAATAGTACAATGCTGGTAAACTTGCTATTTTAGAGTAATTCCCAGACACTTATTTAGTTTTACAATATTTTATACCACTCTTGGAACACTATCCCTCTCTCTATATTTAAATTCAATTTTTTTCCCCTGCGGGATGACAGAGTGATGTCATCACATCACTCTGTGTCCACAGGAGCCAAGCCCCATCCACTCCCAGCCTGGCCCACATAGAGAGCTGGGGCTGCCGCGCTGAGATCTATGCCAGGCCTTCCCCTCCCCAGCGGTTGGAGTTGGGGGAGAGACTGGGGTGATGTGACCTCAGCCCCGGCCCTCTGCTGCATCCAGGTTGGGGCCGAGAGCTTGGGGCTGGCACAGCCTTGGCCCCAGCCCTCCCCAGCAGCTGGGGAGCAGGGTGGAGAAACTGGGGCTGGCGTGGTCCTGGCCCTTCCCAGCTACAGGGGGGGCAGGGGAAGGGCAAGAAAACAGGACTGGCACGGCTTTGGTCCTGGACCTCCCCGGCAGCTGGGAGATGGTGCTGAGAGAGTGGTGCTGGTGCAGCCTTGACCCCAGCCCTCTCCGGTGGCTGTGGGGAAGGGGAGCTGAGAGAACGGGACTGGCATGGTCTTGGCTCCAGCCCTCCCTAGCAGCCAGTGAGAGAGCTAGGGTTGCTACATCCAGAAAGAGGTGGGTTGACAAGCATAGTGAGCAGCGTACGCAGCCCCCTTGTTATTTCTTATTTATGTTTCCTTTATCAATAGAATTTGTGAGGGGGAAACATCCTGCTTTACTAGGACATCCCAAATTAAAACCTCTGAAATATTGGACTCCCTGTAGTACATTTCCTCCCCTGGTCCATCATCCTTTCCACAATAAATTACACTCCATTACTAGAGGAAGGCAAACTTATCTACTCATGACATAGCAGCAGCAGAGAGTCTGAAAAGGTAGAAGCAAGCATTGTCAGATTAAATCTGTACTTTGATGAATTACATGCTCTCCCCCTCCTTCTTGCAAATATAACTTGTGTTAGGACTTTTAACCAGTCATATAACTGAAGTTCCTTAGGGCTACTTTCAGGAAAATAAGGCCGGATCTTGTAGCCCGTATTCTCATGAGCAGTCCTTGCACCTGAACGCCAAAACATAGAATAAGAGCAGGATTAAAATCACTTGTCCTGAACAGTCAAAGGATGTATCCACAGCTTGGCATTCTGACTTCTTCAGATATAAAATGTGACCCTATATATATCAAGTGTTAATACCTTGTCTTACACTGTGAATATGCAGATTCATGTGCATACTTGACATTATCTCATTTTGGACCACATGGTTAATGGAAGAGAAGATCAATAATATGGCATTGCCCACATCTTATGAATTTTGCCTCCTAGTTTGTTCCGAATATTGTCACTGTTTATTGCTAAGTATGTTAAGGAATGGGTATTTTGCTAATTGTGTTGTCGATACAATTTATATTGACTACATGATTGGTCAATAAGGGGAGGCTTACTCTGGGACCGCTGTGCCTCTGCACCAGGCTCTTACTACATAGCTGTTATAAGAGAAACTATGAGCCCTGAATTCAGGTCTTGGCAGATAAAATAATTTCCATTTCATGTATGATTTTTTCTTTTGTAGGCTTGTCTATCAGTTATCATGTATATCAATCACAATACACATAAACAATAAGTTGTAATCATTTTGAAATCAGAAATGCAAGAGTGGCATTCTGTATAAAACATTTGTATTTCATCAGGTTCAAAGGTGAGACTGTCTAAAATGACATTTATAGTATTAATGAACCACTGATGTTTGCTTTATAATGTTGCAAGGTACAATTCCAAACCCAAAATCAAGCTTGAGTAGCTGGGCCAGGGGGAGGAATCCTTCCTCCAGTAATTCCAGTTGATTGAAACTGATGCTTGGGACCTTTCATGCTTTTGCTTGCTACCATCTAACTGCAGCTGGCCTATATTCTGTTTCCTCCTCTCCATTGGCACACTGCTGCTAAGGGGCTCTTTGTGAAGAACAGGACTGGATTTGCCTTTAAGTGACATGGGGAGTTATGAACTGGTTGATGGGCACTGAGCTGAGAAGCTTAGGCATCAAAACTGTCACTTCAAGTTGCTGCAAGTTCTTGAATTTCATTTCCAACTGCAAGATTTAATAAATTTTAAAAACACTGAACTGCATTTTATTAAAGCAAGCTCACTTTTTCGCTCTATTGTCTTTTTAATGTGAAGCAGAAAATGTGTTTTTTTCCCCCAAGTAATCCTGTTCCAAGGTGTTTTTCTTACAGTATTTGTGCATGTTTGTATGTCTTAGTTATGCCTCAGGAGCCTGAAACGTATTTTTTCAATACGTGTTATAGCATAACAAGCGTTACCATGGTATCTTATAACATTTCTTCAATCAGCAGATGGAACTACATGGAGAAAATTATTTTGCTGGTGCAGAACTTTGGAACAGAATAATGCTAAAATAAACTTGTTACAAAAAATCATGCCTCATATGATTGATGACAAATTAAAGCAAACAATCCAGTAATGTATCATCTGGCAGTTAAACATATTCTCTAATTTATCTGATATTACATCAGCAAATTCAATAAATTAAAATAATAGAAATAAGGATAACCTTTTCTTTACCCTAAACAATTTTTTCAACCCATTTCTGGGAGAGTAATTCTCTCTCCTCCTCCTCCCCTCCCAGATGAAGTTAAATATATATAGCTAGTGAAACTGCATGGTCAAGAATAGGGGCAAGAGATAACTTTTTATTTATAGGTCAGTTCACATCCAGCTCAATTCAGAGTTTAGGAAAATGTTAATCTTATGACAGTTTGATGGTCATTTCCCATGGGACTGGGACCAAAACTAATCTCTGCCAAAATCAATGCTGTTACATTTGTTGGCAGTGTCAGCAGACAGCAAAGGGGTCAAGATTTGAGTGGGCCTGGATAATGTATTACTACTTTATGTAAAGAGACCCAGGCCCTATATCTCAGTTTTCTCAGTACCATTCCACAATTTTTTATGCATTGTCTTGGTGTGTCAAGAACTTCTTAGAATGACCTTTTTTTTCTTTTAATTTATCCAAAAGTTTTGGATATTTATAACTACATAATGTTACACTGCTATAGAAACTTTTGTGTGTGCTGTTTCACACTTATTACCTAGTGAGCATGTGTTTTTGCACCATCCATTGTTCAAAGCCAAAGCTTGTTAGGCACTAAAATTACAAGTCAATGGCACAGACAAGTCAATGGAAAACCATTGCACTGGATACCCCCCAAAAAGGAGAGAGCAGTTGGATGAGGACCTAGCAGACTTTCTTTATCTCACTTTTTTCTTCTTTATGGTCACTAGAATCACAGAGAGTATAAAAGTGAAGGTAAGAGGTAGAAAAAAGGGATGCAGACTACAAAGGAAGAAATCAACCTTATTTTAATCTATTTCCTGGCTCCAGCTGGAGCTTTTCCTACCAGATGAAGGCGATGAAAGGAAAGAGGCAGAATGGAGAGCAGTTTGAGTATTTTGTATCTGTAAAAACGTTACCATGCAAGTGTCCTGGATTTTGGATTTGAAAACAAGTCTCCTTAAACATATGCTTGGGGGTGATCCTGCTAGGTCAGGGTTGAGGCACTGCCATCTGATGTAACTTGCACTGACAATGTTAGGTTTCTTCTAATAGATGATTTCAGTTTCTAGGGCTGTTTCTTAAACACCTTTCAAGAGCAAGAAATGAATACATGCATGTTTTAAAATGGCAGAGGGTAATTACAAAGCCATAAACTTTACTTTGTATCAGTATCAGGGGACAAACCTTGGAAGCTGTTTGATTGGAGATGAGACTGTCAAAAGTGAAATATCTTCAGGGCATACAGAGGCTGGTCACAGCTCCCTAAACTGGGTCATGCTCATGAAACGGTAATAACATCTTGAGTGAGGGGAGCCCTTTTCAACGGTAGCTGTGGAATGATCTGTGGCTTCTCAGCTCTGTCCATCCCTCCAGAGGCTGAATCCTT